GCCGAACTGGAAAATTTTCTTCTACGCTTGTTCAATATATTTTATTTAATACATTGCTTTCGAAACATACTTTCAAATAATTGTTTTCCACTCGATATTTCATTTATTCATTTCTGCTATATGTTTTTATAATCTCTTAATGAAAAATGGAAAAAATGGAAAACCAGATTAATTAGGAATAATATACAAAAGCGGCTATTGCTTATGAAACCAACTAGAGAGCAAAATTGATCGTTTCATTTTTATTTGATTTCATTAAAATTACTCGGTATTGGTGAACGCGTATACCTACGACGTTTAAAGCAATTTATTATGCCCTAATATAAGCGCGTTTACGAAGCGAAAGGGGACAACAGCGGTTCCGTCTTCACACTATAATTTATGACGTATACCAATTTGTTGGAGTCGTATTAAAAGGCGGCCGTAAACTGTTGAATGGCCCGAAAACTGGGGTGACATCCTCGAATGGATATGCGCATTTTGTTTAACATTGTTTTGAAGTGATACTGTTTCTGTCCGAAAAGTATTTATTTCGTAAAATATTTCATTTAAAGATGCACTTTTAATTTTTGATACTACCCAATTAGAAAAAATAATAATTTCAACATCTAGATACATTTAGCTAAATTAGATAATATTAATGTTCCAAACGTAGAAGGTTCTTAAGTATAAGTATGTTAATGCCAATAATAAAATTAAAATTAAGTCACCCCAAAGGAGATAATTATGTTAGTTTATACCAGATTAGACGGCGCTTCGATTTCGTGTAGGTATAAGACGATATACTTTAATGATATTAAACGTAACAGGTCGGGCCGTTTTAGCGCATGATTGAATTTCGTTTGACAAAGATCTTTGGGTACGTTTAAAATGTAACTCGATATTGTGAAGCCATTGTAGGTGACAAAATACACGACATCAGCCACGGACTAAGTTCGGGCTAAAGCTATGGTGTGGACCAAAAGAATGAAAAAAAAGTTTTTAAACAATAATATTACTGGAATTATACCAAAATCTATATTAGCCTCATCTAATTACTTATAATATTAAATCGCCACGTAAAGTAATTACTATAAAATAATTTTCGTAGTATAATCTCTCTAATCGAATTGGACAATTTGTACAGTTATATTTAAACTATTTGTTTATATTTAAATAAAAAGGAACGGCAAACAGGAAGTGTGAGTTGGTAGCAATCTTCACGAAACGAAAAAAGCGTTATCGCTCCCGAATAGTAAAAATAAGAAAAAGTAAATGATACAGTCTTGTCGCTGTTTAATCAAACATTCAAATCAAACACAACTTATTTTTGCCATATCTCACAACTATTCGTCAATTAGAATAACTTAAAATATACGCATTTCACCGTACTATAAAAAATATTCGGGAAAATTATGGTTTTTCCAGAATATTTTTTAACTTTTGCACTACTCACTCTAATTGCGTTGGCTAAACAGAACAGTGTTAAGTTATAAACCAAATTATAACGCGCCATAACTTTCGCTGACAATTCGCGCGTGAACGGCGCCGCATTTTGGCGGGATGCAAGCGTTAATGGTGGGTGAGCAATAAAACACATTTATTCATTTGGTTATATTTTTAACGTAGTTAACAGATTGTATATGCTTTTATCCTATTTTATTCGAATTGCGCACGTTTTTCATGGACAAATATAAAAGGGCGGTTTAAGACGTATTTTTATAGCTTAGTCGTTATTCAATTTATTTTACATATTGTAAAATAGCTGTCCTATATTACACATGCAATCTTGAAATATATTTGTCCCTTATTTGTAGCAAGAAAATTTTAACCGGTGTGAGATAACTATCGTAGTATTTGACATCGTTATGTCTTTGGAACAAAAAACTTGGAGATATATAAGGCTTTATGGCTGTAACTAATACTATTATTAATTTTGTTACACTTTGAACCTTCCTTTTAAAGGAATAAATATATGTTTTAAATCACTTTTTATATATTGTTTATTAATTTCAAGCGATTTGTCTAGGCTCGGGGAAGCGTATAATTCTCACGGTAAATTTAAAGTAAGTAAAATCCATTGAAATTTAGGTTTAAGGTAGTTTGCTGATAGCTTTTGACAAATTCTTTTGATGGTCCGCTGGAAAGGACCAGTGGACTTGGGAGAAACGATATAGGTAGCGGTTTTACATTGAAAACATGATAATGCCGTCTGCTCCGCTGCATCTCTGCGACCCCTCTCGCACGCGCGACGCACAATCGTGAGCACGACACGAAACAAGGGCCCCTCAGATGGAGATTCAGCTTGAACCGCAGTTGATAGTGGAATCTATCCACATGAAGTCGAAGTTTTGAATTGGTCGCACGATATACTTACGTCGAACGATCAAAAAACTATACAATATGAAAATAATTACATTGCATTTGGATTTTTATTTTAATACATACGGTATTTAAATATAAGTACAATATTTGTAGATTGTTCATATGAAAATAAAAAATATTGAGTTATTACCTGCTAAAGATAATTAAAATTTTCAAAAATTGCAACAATATCAGATCTTAATTAATAATACTGGCAGCTATACACAGTTTTCTCGACAATTATCTAGCAATCAAATTTTTAGTAAGTTATATTAGGGTTATGTACAATATTTAAATTGAAAAATTTTTGAGTAAAAACTATAATAATACAGAAATATTAACGTTATAAATTCTACAATTACCGCAAAATGTGTTGGTTAGGTTGGGCTATTGCACTTTCGCTATTTTCATACATGTTTACAAAACCGTAAATAAAATTCTTAACGTCTAAAATCTAGGCGAGTAAAATTATACCATCCCTTATATTCTAGTAAGCAGTAAAGATATAGTTAGAATAAATACTAGATGCAATTTGGAATAAATGTTTGCTGTATATTAATTTTCAATCCATTCATTTTCAGATGTTATGATTTTGACATATGCAATGAATAAATAGAAGTATTTTGAAACAGAACTGAAGTTCATAGAAAATATATGAAGAAAATTAAGATATTGAAAGTTTTATTAACCTTGTAGTTCAATGAAAAAAATTAACTGATAATTTTTAAAGAAAAGATGACCAGATAAAACACTGAAAACCTACATATTTCTACATATTTTACTGAAAACCTTATAGCATTCACACAGGGATTGAAAAAGAAGATTGCTGTGCTAGAATCACAAAATTTCGCTATTGAAACAATGGGTAGGCTGGTCCAGGGAAGTAGCTACCACGACCTCGAAAAAGATCAGAGTAAATTGAGTGAGTTAACCCACTGGTGTCATTTGTGGATGTTCTGGTCATCAAGTGAACCGCTTGCTCACTTGAAACCTTTATTATAAGAAGCTATTATGAAAAATCAGCTTTTTTTGGCGCAATGTCCAAAATCATAAAAAGAGTTTTTTATCTTTTGATAATTTGAAAACTTGAAAATTTGTGAGGTAAAAAGTTGAGATGGTCGTTTGACTGAATTGATAGCAGAATGCATCCCTATTGTGCACCGTTTTGTGTATTGATTTCTAAACCACCGTGTTGTGTGTTCAATTTCCACATTGGATAATTTAAGTGATTTACAAATAGTCATTCCGAGACTGGGTAGGAACAACACATGTGGCTGTGGATTCATGTTTGTTACACTTCGGTACAAAAGTTATTAACTGGCATGGGAACCGTTTTTATTTAAATAAAATAGAATACAAAAACTAAAATCTCCGCGGATGAAATCGTGGGTATGATCTAGAATTTTTACATACCCATCGAAAAGTTACATACGCAACTTCATATTCAAAGTTATATCACAACTCTACTTATGATGAGTAGGATTGCGTCATGTTCCATTATACAGTTTTTTTACCATGTTACATGATGATAGTGTTATTTCTGAAATAATAATTTTAATTTTTAACAGTTTTGTAGAAATGAACTCTCTGAATCTTAATAAATATCACGATCTATTGCAGCTGTTCATGGCCTATTGAAATAAAAAAGTGTGTTTTATATTTTTCCTCAAGACGGTGCATGATGGTTGATTACAAAAAAATAAGGCGGATTAGGAACATTGAAAAGGACAAATATGACAGGACAATAAGTATGTCATTAAAATAGATGACTGTACGACTTTCAGTATGTAAAACTAGACAATTCAAGATAAAAATGAGGCAAAACATTAGAGTGAAAATAGTGGTTGGACCTCTCTTTTTGAACCATAATTTTCATTGAACAAAAAAAGCAATCTGTGATTGTCTGCTCCTGTCAATGCTAGTTATTCCTGGTGTCTTGTTAGGTTTATTAAGTGTAACAGAACAGTTAACAGATGTTAAAGATCAGGCAAAGTAGCCGGGATTAATGCCGGGTAGAAAGAAAAAGACCGTTTATAGTAGAAAATGTGGTGGTAATCATAATTTTATTTATCGGAGTTAGTATTTAATAGTCCGTGGATCATGACTGATTGTTAAAATAGAAAGATCTGTATGAAACACCTCATTAAAAATGTTGTCTGAAGCACATGACTGTTAATTTGTCATTATTACCTTTTCAAAAATTGCAGAAATAAGAAAAACGAAACTATTTTCTTCGGAGGATAATAATAATAAAATATTTATTTGTATGCACAAATATATTCGAACACAGATTGAGTAACTAATTTCATTAATGTCAATAAAAAACGATACGTTACAATCTCGGTGTTCCTGAACGTTTGAAGGAATGACAATTGACATTTGACAATGACATTGGTAGAAATGAATGTCAAAACAACAAAGTTTACGATAAATATTAATGTTTTTGTTTAATGTATTTATAGAAGTAAAACAATATTTATTGTTATATAATTTTGAGAAAACCTATATATTTATGAATGGAATGGATCATATAGTATGAGTTACTGACTACATGAAATAATAATTAAAATCGTTTAAGTGCCCGTCATCTTTGCATATTTAAGCGAAAATATAATACCTACACACCAAACCATCAAATAAGTTTGCAAGGTTGTAGAATGTCATTTGAAGTTTCCGATGATGAAGATAGCTTTGCCCCCAACGATAGTGAAAATAATGAAAATATGGCCCCGCCAAATTCCATTTCCATTAGTAGCGACGAGGAAACCCAGGAACCACCTATAGTATATGAATTAACCTCTGACGAAGAAGCACCCAAAACTCTAGATATACGTAAAAAGAAACAAGCACTCATAAGAAATCTTTTTCCTTGCACTAAATCTACTTTGAAAACCGGCACTAGGGATCTGAAATCTTCAATTGTACAACAAAAACCTAAAGGATTTGAGAAGATGATAGGTGGTGTGAAGGTTCATATACCTGTTGAACCATATGGCAGTCAAACGGCACTGATGTTCAAGGTAAAAAATAATCTTGGTCTTAAAACATTATCCAAAACATGAACCCAATTTTTTAAGAAGCTTAATATGTTTTTATTATAAATGGAGAATTTTTACCTATTGTCAAAAAAAGGATCTATGTTGCTATGTATTGCCTGAATTGTCATTAATGAACATCCATAAAAATTGCTAACACATTATTAAAAATATAAACGGGTACATAAATGTGGTATGTTGGGTCAAATATACCTTTTTATTAACACTTTTTATCACATTATTTGTTGTTCAACAATGTCTAGTAAAAATGTCAGTTAAGGAAACACCCTCCCCTCCCTCCCAGCTGCATTTGTTTTTAATTATCTTATACCCCAGAAACACATTTAAACAGTCCTTATTTAGTTTCCCTAGTTTTAAATGCTTCATGATATTTGTTATTTCTGCATGTAAGTTGTGACTTACAAATCTTTTTTGTGTTAAATGTTGGGAAATGGGCAGGCAATATCCCTGAGTAATTTCCGTCGCACTTGGTCCTTGACAATACCTGAAGAGTTGTAGATGTTAGCAATAAAAGAAGGGCCTCAATTACCTCTCTCACCAGACAAAACATGAAAGGATGATACATCAGCTTCATGCTGGTATTATGCAAAGCTGTCCACAGAAACTGTTGTATATAAGATATTTTCTATAGTTAGATTTTGAAACCTGATAAATTATCATTTAATAAATTCTTTTGTGGCAATGATTTTTATTTTGGTATCATTCTTTACAATCTAGATAATGATTTTTGGCTTAGGTAATAACTGCCATCAATAAAAGCCAGAACTGTCTGTTGGAGAGTCCAACCGGATCTGGCAAAACATTAGCACTACTTTGCGGCGCATTGGCATGGGTTCGTCATGAAAGAAGTAAGTCAAGGTTAATTTTTAGCATTCTTATAAAAGTAGTAAGTGCATCTTGGTCCCTATAAAATATATTTTAATTGATTTGGATGAATGATACCAGATAGTTTTTCAGAAATGTCTGTCTAATTATGATGTAAGCGTACTTATATTGCATTTTTTGTTTGTGTGAAGTAAAAAGACCCAGTGATATAAAATATTTTTCATCTGCTTAGTTTTTATGATTTTCTTACAAAAATTATTGTTTAACAATTAACTCAGAGTTTTATAGTAAAAACCTATTTTTGATATTTTCTATAGAAGGAAATCAAGCCCACCTGATAATAAGTGATCAATGAAATATCTGAGAAGTTCAAATATTTTGGTCTTTTAAATAGGAATGGGCCTTCTTTTTAAAAAGTGTTTTTTTTTTATTTTATTTAAGACACACCAACAGTATACATATTTACACAACTTAAAAAAAAAGGAAAAATTATTATGAGTACAAATAAGTTTCTGCCGTTTTTTAAAACAAATTAAATATTTATTGTAGAAGAACGGTAATATAAATTTATTCAAAATATTGCCCATCACTTGCAACCACTTTTTCCCATCTCTCAGGCAGCATTCGAATCCCACGTCTGAAGAACTCCTTGTCTTTTGAGGCTATCCAAGAATCAACCCAATTTTTGGTGTCCTCATAAGATGTGAACCGCTGCGCCGTCAGAGCATGTGCCATGGACCGGAACAGGTGATAATCGGACGGTGCAATGTCTGGTGAATACGGCGGGTGGGGTAACACTTCCCAATCAAGTGTTTCCAAGTACTTTTTCACGGGAGCCGCAACATGTGGACGAGCATTGTCATGCAGAAGAATAATTTTTTCGTGTCTAGAATAGTATTGAGGGCGTTTTTTTCCTTCAGAGCTCGGCTCAATCTCATCAATTGTGTTCGATAGAGGGCTCCAGTAATTGTTTCGCTCGGATTAAGCAACTCATAATACACTACACCTAGCTGATCCCACCAAATACAAAGCATAAGTTTTTTTCCGTGAATATTCGGTTTTGCTGTTGATGTTGACGCGTGGCCAGGTAATCCCCATGATTTTCTTCTTTTTCGATTGTCATAATGTATCCACTTCTCATCACCACCATGATACGATGTAAAAAACCCTTTTTTTATGTCTAGCTAGCAGCATTTCACTTAAGCATAATCGGCGTTCAATATCTCTCGGCTTTAATTCGTACGGAACCCAATTTCCTTGTTTATGAATCATTCCTAATGATTTTAAACGATGTGAGACTGCTTGCTGAGTGACTTCTAATGTTAGAGCAAGTTCTTTTTGTGTTTGAGATGAATCTTCCTCCAATAATTCCTCCAATTCTGCATCCTCGTAAATTTTTGGCCTTCCACTGCGATCTTTGTCTTCTACGTCGAAATCACCGTTTTTAAACTTTTGAAACCACTCTCGACACGTTCTCTCACTCAAAGCACCCTCACCATATGCTTCTACGAGCAATTAATGCGCTTCAGCAGCAGATTTCTTTAAATTAAAGAAATGACGCAAATGACGCTTACTTGGCTCAAATTTTGACATTTTCAACTTATAAAAATTATATTTTACCAATATAAAATCAATGATATTAATAGGTTATGTTGTTCTTGAATGTCCAAACTATTTTTTAAGCCGGTTATCATCTGCGAAAGCTAACCGAAACTCCGTGCCGCACCATCTACAATAAAACGGCGGAAACTTATTTGTACTCCTAATAAAAAAAAACGACCCAATATGTGCACCTATAACAGGTGTGTACAACATTTACAATATTGTGACAAAGTTTAGTAAACAAAAAAAAACTAATGTTTATATCATATCAGTCAGGAATGCTCTATGCATTGGCAACAACTGATTTCACAAAAGTTATTATATGTATTTGATAATTCCATGGCGTAGTCGCTTCGGCGTCGGGGGTCGTTGGTTCAATCCCTATATGTGACAAATATTTGTGTCGCCTACAAATAGTTGTTTCGCATCTGGGTGTTTGTCCACTCGAAATTTATATTTGCAAAAGGTCTTTACAACGCAGGATAATGTTATCCTAAAGTCAGGGCATTAAAAAAAAAGAAAAGAGGAAAAAAATATGTGGTACGTATTTTCCTGTTATTATCTAGACACACAAGACATCTAAACTCATATAGTATACAGTTGCTCAATATGTTATTAATAATTAAATTACTAATTTGTGTTAATCAAAGTTTTCCCTTCGCTAATTTATGTAAAATTTAAAAATCTGTTTTATAAGAAGAATGTTTGTTGCTCAAATATATAAGCTATCTGAGGCAATTAAGACGATGTGGCCCTAACGAAGGAAAATCACGAAATCAAACGATAAAAAGGAAGACATTTCGAAAATAGAATTACATTCTTTATTTGTCCATCCTCCCTGAAATTGTCTCGTTTCGGCCGCAATTAGCTACTGTTTCGAAACAGGGCATAGACAATAAATCCGATAGGAGTTAGACCGATGCTCTAGGAACCGTCCGACCTCCGCCCGCGGGCGACAATTGATCACAAGTGTTCGCGTGACCCGCACAACCCGCAGTCCAACAAGCCAACGAGCAACTTCTAAATCATACAAAAACTGTCGCCCGACAGGGCAACATGAAAATTGCGCTTCTACGATACTGAATGCATTTGCTGCATGCAACGTCGCTCGCATCGCATAAGGAAGTGGCTGGCATCGCGGCGTTTTTTTTTTTTTTTTTTTTTTTTCATTTCTTTTTATTATTAACTGTCATCCGCGTTCCGTTTTCCGCATGCCGCTCCAGCCGGTTGCGATTTTTATGATAATTGCGTAAATCGAATTTGGAACTGTTCGTTATTTGGAAACGTTTTGCGTTTGCTTATTAAATTGATGTAGACGTCGTACCGCGGAAACCCGACTTGCTATTGAATGACTCAATCGTCATAAGTGCACGCGAAACACATTGCAGCAGAATTTTACTTATTATATGTAGTGATAAAAATTAAATTAAAACATTTGATAACGAATTAAGCACAAATAGCTATCAACATGTAAGGCTACACACGTTGATAGCTATTTTACAGTTTTTATCTTGTGAGCACATATACAGATCTCTGTTTGGTCTCTTTTCTAGCCTCTGACCCACCAACCAACCAACCCAATCGCATTAAACTCTTATACACGTACATTCATATAAAATTAAAAAAAGCTGAAAAAGATGAATTACACTGCTTCATTTGGCCTCCGAAGTCGGCAAAGTAGAAACTTGAGACAACGAAAAATGGATTATAGGGCGTTAGCACACTGGCGTTGTTTTTTGTGTCATTCATCTGTTGCCTAAACTTTTCTTATAACTCATTACACAACATATTGCCCGCACTTAATCTTGCACATGACAACGCTAAGCTTTGTTGGTGACAACTGTTAGGGATAAATTCGATTTTAACTTGAAAAGCCCCCGTGTGTAAACGGCCTTAGCCGAATTAGGAAGCCATTAAGAATCTAACGAAAGAAGTGTTACGCAAACTGTCGTAAAAGTTTTTGGTTAACACAAAAACTTTACTTAATTTACTATTTGCCAATTCGATCAGTGAAAGCGGCCGGGCAAAGTTAAAAACTCCCATTGTTAACTAACGATATTAACGAAAGAATTTGTATGGCAACGCAGAGTTTCGACGTTGGGATATTGTTTTGGAGATTTTGTCATCACTCATTTCAATCTTGTTAGAGATTCATTAACGCTAAAATTTTGCAATACATAAAACACTGCTAATATCCGACTACTTAATATATTTTTATATAAAAAGTTTATAAAATATTGGCTTTTATTTCAGTGTTGTTATATTTTAGCCAATTTTACTATCAACAATTTTGCTTTAGTTAGGAACAGAAATAACACATCTGGGTTAAAAATCAATTGATGACTCCGTGGCGCAGTTGTCAAAGGTATTGGCTTCATCTTCAGGGGTCGTGGGTTCGATTCCTACACGATACAACTATTTGCGTGGCCCACGTATAGTTGGATCGCATCTGGGTGTTTGCAGCGTGTTGTAAAATTTCCTTGCAACACAGGATAATGATATCCTAAAGTAAGGGCAATACCAAATAGGCGTAGGGAAGTGACGACCCCATCGCCCACCGGCGTAACAGTTCAAGTGACAGAACTGTTGCGCCGGCGCAATCAGTCAGCGCCTTGCCAATAGGTGTTTGCACCGTGCCTCGGCATAAATGAGGGTGCATAGGCCCGTCTGTGCGTTCGGCCACACTACAGAAAACGGTGCCGGTCTGGGGGCGTCTTCCGTTAAACGACGCCCTAAAAATGGATGATGGAAAAAAAAGAAAGGAAAGCGCATAGGGCCGCTGCCTGGGGGCCGCCAGGGCACGTCTGGAGCTGGCGCTGGACGTGGCAGCATGCGGGACGCCAGCCGAGCGCGGGGTACTGCACGACCACCAAGCAGTACCTCGCATCCATCATCCCCACCAGTTGGCTTGGTGTCGGTAGGATCCTCTCGGATCCAGCAATCGGCACCCGCCGCTGGTGGAATACGCCGCTTGCGCTGGACGTCTGAAATGAATCAGAACGCAATGCGGGCGTATTTTAGGGCAAAAGGGAGTGAAACTGGAGGGTTTGCGTATCGGGCAAGGATGCATCGCTTTTTTGCTGAGCTGGAGCCATCTTTAACCGTCACGGAGCAAAACCTAGCAGACAGAGTTCGGTATATCATGCGCTCAAAAATATTTGATGATGCCGAGCTCGAACGACTTCGACGTGAGGCTCTTCCCTCATCGGATGAGAATGCAGTAGCCGGAAATGCGACCCCGCAACCTGCGGATCTCGCAGGGTTACAAGCGGAAGCGGAGGCCGCGTTTTACCCCCCGGCTCCTGTAGATTCGTGCGATGATGGAATAGTCGCCCAAGAAATAGAGCAGATGAGAAGTATATTGGAGGAGGCAATTCTGGAGGTGCGCGAAACGCCTCTCGAGTATCGACCACGTCTCCCCCGCATACCTCTAAGTAAGCGGATAGTAGTCGGTCTGTCGTGAGGTCTCTTAACCCGATGCTGGCAACCTATTTGGAAGCTAGCCGGGATCTTTGCGATACGGACTCAATTTTCTTTGGCGCTGCACTGGCGGTATGCCGAACCGTTGGCGCCAAACTTCCCAAGGCTGGACGTGCTACCAGACCAGGTAGCACTATCCCAGCATGGAGAAGAAGAATTGAGGACCGTATCGCAAAGGTAAGGGCCATCATCGGCAGGCTGATAAGCTTTAGGTCGGGCAATAATAGGCCCAGAATTGTGCGCACCGTTAGGATGGCGTTCGCTGGGACCAACATCAACTTGTCCCAGCCAGATATTACGCAAAAACTAACGGAGCGCATAGATGACCTGAAGCAGAGGATCGCTGCTTGGGGGAAGCGGATTCGGAGATATACCGAGAGGACGGCGCGGTTTAGCCAGAATCGCCTCTTCCAGAGTGACCAAAAGAGGCTCTATAAATCTTTGGAGCGACCAATGAGCTGTGGAACGGGCCAAGGACCGGACCAGGCAGACACTGTCGCCTTCTGGCGCAGCCTGTGGTCAGAGCCCGTAGACCATAGCGAGGGCCCTTGGACACAAGTCGTGGCGAGCCAATGTGCAGATATTACACCCCATGGACCCCGTCGTCATAACACCCGACGACGTATCTGAGGCAGTCCGTAGAGCCCCGAACTGGAAAAGTCCGGGACTCGACGGGCTGCATCACTACTGGCTGAAGGGGTTCGTGGTGTGTCATGCTGTGCTCGCCCGACAGTTCCAAGAAGCTCTCGATCAGAGGTCACTCCCGAGCCTCTTTACTACTGGGGTCACTCATTTGGTTCCTAAAGATCAGGTTTCCACAGACCCGAGTAAGTACCGCCCCATAACGTGTCTACCTACCATCTATAAGACACTGACATCTATTCTGAGCATGAGAATCACCCGGCATATTAATATGAATCGGATTATGTCTCGTGCTCAGAATGGATGTCGGGGCAGTGGTCGTGGAACCAAGCTACCACTTCTCATCGACGCGGTCATTGGCAAAATGGTTAAACGCAACCGTCGGAACTTCTCCGCCGCCTGGATAGACTACAGAAAGGCGTTCGACTCGGTGCCCCATACATGGCTAAAGAGGGTCCTCGAACTGTACAAAGTAGACTGTACAGTAAGAGACTTCCTCGGGCACTGTATGGGGCAATGGAGTACGATCCTTCATTCGTCATCTAGGCGAGCGGATGACGGCTGCGGAATACCGGATAAGGATACGACGGGGTATTTTCCAGGGCGACTGTTTGAGTCCAATATGGTTTTGCCTCTCCCTGAATCCTCTCAGCGTGTTACTGGAGGGCTCGGGGGGAGGATTTCAGCTTCGGAGAGGAGGGACAAAAGTGACCCACCTTTTCTACATGGATGACCTCAAATTATTCGCCTCCAATCGCTCCCATTTGATGGAATTGCTTAAAGTCACTTGTGATTTCAGCAATTCTATCAAAATGGAGCTTGGGACGGATAAGTGTGCGGTCCTCCATGTCGAAAGGGGTTAGGTCGCTAACACAGAGGGCATAGATTTATCTATGCCCGTTAACATAAGGACCCTCTCTGAGGCTGAAACATACCGATACCTGGGTATGTCACAAAATATGTGTATCGATGAGGCTGGCATAAAACAGTCAGTTCGTGACGTGTTTTTTGCACGCCTGACAAAGGTGTTTAATAGCCATTTGTCAGGCGTGAACAAAGCACGCGCTTTTAACGGCTGGGTCATGCCAGTCCTCATGTATACCTTTGGCATACTCAGGTGGACTCAAACTGAGCTCAACGCCCTGGACCGAAAAGTCCGCACAACTATGACGTCCCACAGAATGCATCATCCGAGATCGTCAGTGATGAGGCTGTACCTGCCGCGGAAGCATGGCGGGAGGGGCTTTTTAAGCGCCCTCACCATGCACAATCGCGAGGTGTGCAGCCTCCGTAACTACTTTCTGGCGAGATCGGATGAATCAATCTACACGGACGTCATTAGTTGTGATAAAGGACTTACCCCTCTATCCTTATCCAAGGAGCAATGGCAGGACCCGGGAGTACTGAGCGTTTCCGACCGAGAGACCGTATGGAAAGAGAAAGAGCTCCACGGGAGGTTCTACAAGGCTCTACACGAGCCTTTCGTAGATACCGTTGCCTCCGTTAACTGGCTACGTTTCGGTGACCTCTTTGGGGAAACCGAAGGTTTTGTCTGTGCGATACAGGATCAGGTTATTAAGACGAACAACTATCGGAGATACATCCTAAGGGACGGCACCGTCGACATCTGTCGAGCTTGTCGCCATCCCGGGGAGTCGCTCCGGCATGTTATCTCCGGTTGTTCCATGCTTTCTAACTCTGAGTATCTGCATAGGCACAACCTAGTAGCCAGAATTCTACACCAGGAGCTCGCTCTGAAATACGGACTCGTGGAACGGAAACTGCCGTACTATAAGTACTCTCCGGAGGCCGTGCTCGAAAATGACCGCGCCAGGCTCTATTGGGACCGGCCCATCATCACGGACAGGACGATTGTCGCGAACAAACCCGACATCGTGGTGATGGACCGGGCACAGTCGCGGGTATTTTTGGTCGACATTACCATTCCATATGACGAGAACCTCGTGAAAGCCGAAACAGATAAGAAAACGAAGTATCTGGACCTGGCTCACGAGGTGACCGACATGTGGGGTGGTGTGCCGACCGAAATTATCCCAGTAGTCGTGTCTGCGAATGGGTTAATCCCAGTCAGCCTCTCCGAACATCTGAGGCGACTGGGACTCCGGGACGGAACGCTCCAAGCTCAAATGCAGAAGGCGGTGCTCCTCGATACCGCCCGCATCGTCCGCCGGTTTCTCTCCCTCTCACCCTAACCCTCGGCCGTTTGGTCTCCCCTGCCGAGGGCTTCCGTCTGGTTGGGTCCTATTTATTTATGTATTATATATAATATTTATATCTGTATATTTATTTTTATTCATAATATTTATTTTATATATGCAATATATATTTATATGTTTATTATTTATCCCCAAACCCAACCAGACGAGAAAACAAATAAATACCCCCAAAATAATACCATCATTTTTATTTATCATCAGTGTTTTTGTGTCTAATGGATGATGGTTTCCCGGTCTGTATTTCCTGTTGTTACCGTTTTAAAGATTTTTAGGAAAATACTTAATCGAAAATTCTCTCAAATTTTAATAATTTCGATTTATTAAAACTTGAGAGAAATTTCTCTAAAGCAATGTTATTGAAGATTAAAAAGCACAATTCGCCAAGAAATCGCTGTATGCAAAGCGTATCCGTCTAGCGTTATGAGAAACAAGCAAATCGATGACAACCGCTTCGCGAATCAAAATTTTAGTGCTGTCTATTTCTTTTTTAATTAAAAAAAAATCCTAATCAAAGTCAGTTCCAAGTCGGGTGAGTTTTTAAAAGTTCTGACGTCTGGTGAGAAACGGCGGTCGCGGGGCATTCGGTTTTGTCGTGCGGCCGCCGCGACTCCATAATTTCCCCTTAAACAAATTTCGCGCCCAATTTTCTTTCGCGTCTGCAACGTTGACAACTCTATCGTGACAAGCAAATTTGGTAGGAAGGACTAAAATACGTTTCTTCCACGTGAACCTTCTCGTGCCTTCTACGAAAACGTCTGCATTATTTGACATAAAATCGTATATCTCCGCGGACAATAGAATCCATGAATTCGATTACATCTTCTAGTTGAATTCGATTACACCTGAAAACAAACCTACTACTTTGTCAGCGGTCAATGTCCATTCACAACTAGAGAATAGGTATTGCCGGGAGATGTCCAAGATAACGTAACTACCACAATCAGCAGTCCTCGCCCAAATTACTCGATATCAAAACGGTAGATTGTGAAAGATAATTATGTAATATCAAAATTCACCCTGCATTGTTGTTTTTTTCATCCAACATATCTGAACCGGGTCCACGCGATTCGCAACGGATCACGGCGAGCTCATCCGAAGTCGAATAAGCGACGACGGACAAATCCACCTAATATTGATCACGAACGAAAAACTCATTCCGTTCGACATCTAAAAAGCCGCCGTAACCCTGAACGCATCAATTACCCCCGCGCAGCGAGAAACGCACGCGACTTGACACATCGCCGCCCCCAGACATGTCTTTGAGACTTACACCCTCTCCCCCGACTCTCGCCCTGAGTTTTTTTCTCGTTCCGCGTAGCTGGCAACCCTTTGGCCAAATTGAATTCGGAATCTGCGAGCTCGCGACGCTGCTGACAGCTTGACGTCTCCGCATAGAATGTGTAATGAATTCTGTCCTGGCGGTACCTATATGAGTTGATTGGTAAATTAAACGATATTACTTAGAGATATTTGAGATATTTTCGCAGCTGCGAATCGTCGACCTAAATACTAAAATATCACTTTTACTGAATAATCCTGGATGAATGGCAAGCACATGACCCAGCCGGAAAATGTGATGTTCACTGAATAAATAATGATAAAGGTGTAATATCAATTCGTTTTTTTTTTCGCCTGATGAGTAACCGGCGCCATCCTAGGTGGTCAGCACCAGCTACCGTTTGATGAACGGATGTCCATCGGTGGTGGTGATCAATCCGTTGAACTGAAAATCGTCTCGGCTGTACAACTGATTAGTCGAGCCGAACGCCGAGGCGTCACGTCACTAACTCGGCACCAGCGCGTCGGGACGTTGAAAACGGCTCGCAACTGCTCGCCTATAAATTTCCATGCAAATGAGGCGGCGAGGAGCGGGCCCGCGGCAGTAATCGGGCGGCCCGGGCCCATAAATAACATTTACTGCGCGGCGACACCGGCAACCCTTCGGCGTCATCCGCGCGGGAGGCACCGATGCCCCCGATAAAGGCGGCAGGTACCCGCCGCGGGCCGCCGCTCCTAGATGCAAATTTACTATCTCGCCGAGATGTAAATGGAGGGCGTACCGCCGCATGCCCGCGCGCGGTGCCGTCCCATTATTGGTCGCGGCCCGGACCGGTATTTCGTGTTCCACGCGCGGCGAACGCGACGCTACGCGGCCGGCACTCACCGGCTGTCCTGTGTGGCCCTTCGCACTAATCTGCGCGGGAGCGTTTGTGTGTTTGAGTTGAGCTCCGAGCCGCCTTCGACGCAAACAAAGCACTAAAACCTCCTTGTTGAAATGAGCAGCCGATTAGCTTGCTTCATCTTCGAACGCAAGAGGTGATTGATTCTGATTTTTATGTTAAAAATTCGCAAACGAGCTAGCGGTTTACCTGATGTTAAGTAATAACCATCGCCCATGGACATTTGCAACACCCGTAGGGTTGTCAATGCATTGCCACCTTTAAATAAGTCTGCCCCGGCTACCTCACTTACCAGACGAAACGCAGAAGTGTAACACGCCGGTCTTCTGTGAGGTTGTGGTACTTACCCGGACGGACCGGAAAACTGTTGCATGGCCCTGCTATAATAATAGTTACGAGTTCGGTGCTAACGGCATATAATTCAAACGAGACTTCTTTACCGTATTAGAAATTTCGGCATGCTTGCTTAACAACGTGCTTATATTAAAATTTTTAGAAAAAAGGAACTACCAGTTTTTCGCCGCTGTGGGAATCGAACCCACGTGTTCGGGATTCACGCCCTGACGCTTTAGCCACTAAGCTAAACGACTAATTGCCACACCGACGAAAATCTCAACGTCTTTTATCTACATTGTTTTTACATGCTTATTATAGTCACTCTGTTATCCAGTCTGTTTAAATGGACGAGGATTCAGCGTCCATGGGGAAAATAAATAATGAATTATAGTAAAGCTTAAAATAACTTAGGTTACTTAATAATCGCTAGCTGCAATGTCTTAGTTTAAATCTTTGCTTGTCAATATCGTGCATAAAATAGATTTTATGAATGTTACACGTTTGATGATATATGTCACAGTGTTTAGTACCAAACTAGTTTTATATCCTACGTAAACTATACACATATGCATGCAAAGTTGTGATATGTGAAAGGCAAATGTGAAAGGGCCACCAAATATCCCATTCGTTCACAAAGACCACATGCTAATGGTGTTGCTTTTCGTTCCCCCCATCGAAATGTATGTGTAGTTTTGTGAAATGACCTTTTTGGAGTTGTTTACAAGAACTGGTTTGTGTAGTAATGACTTTACCTTGTGCTGTAAGGATTTTGGCTAAGTAAAAACATTATTCATAATATTATTTGTAAACAGCGAATCACTTGCAATATAACAGTCACTGCTAAACAGCTATGGGATCCGGGGAGCGTTTAACGTACATTTCCATGCTATATACTGAGTACACATATGAAGTAACTGATGCTGATGATCGAATCTTTGATAAATCGATGTATGATGTTGGTGTGTCAGAATTAGTAAAAATCGGGTCTCCACAGTTTTTTCCATTGATATTCCCCTCAGTGCTGTTATTACATTTTCTAAATTATTTCCTTTTAACACGAACTGGCGCCTTCGTCACATCCTAGTAGATGGTAAGAAGTTTACTATTGTAATATTTACTCTCTACAGACAATAATACATTTCCTTCCATATGTCCGTTTGCTGTCCATATCTTGCGCACCTCAGGTTGATTTCGAGGCCTTTTTGGCCGTTATTGATTTAACCATCGCCTCCCGCGGCGTAAGGACACGATTTATGCCGGAAGCCGCCGTATTCATAGACAACGGGTGAATTCGAGCAATAATCTATGTTTTTATTACGCCGCCGACGGGCCAAATGGCTGTTTAAATATTCAAAATTTCGATACCCCTTTATTGTCACGACACGGAGCGGCATACAGCGGCCTGATCGTTGATAATGCATAAATTTATAGTCTGTTCCTGTAAAAAACCAATGCCATAATTCGTCTTTATTTGCCCCATCGCCTGTTAAAGTTTTGATAACGTATCATAGGTATGCGAAGTTTGATTGATCATATTGTAGCGCTTCGTTTACTACGGTATGTGGTATCTTACCTCGTCGATACCAGCATAATGGTGATTGAATTTGTTCACACGCATCACGTGAATGTGTGATAGAAAATATTGGTACTCATGAACTCATGTTTATGCCAAGTTTTAAAATAAGTCAAGAGTTTTTCGCCTATAAAAGGAAATAGTTTAGAAAATGTAATAACAGCACTGAGGGGAATATCAATGGAAAAAACTGTGGAGACCCGATTTTTACTAATTCTGACACACCAACATCATACATCGATTTATCAAAGATTCGATCATCAGCATCAGTTACTTCATATGTGTAATCAGTATGTAGCATGGAAATGTACGTTAAACGCCTAATAGCGTAAATAGTAAAGTATTAATTTGTCACCAACGTTGATATTGTTTAAAACTCGACGGCACTAGGAAATAATAATTTGGTTTCTTACATGCATAGATCTATGGACAACACATTATTGTCAAAAGACGTGTAAACATGTTTTCCTTATTCATAATGCCTCACAAGAGTAAAAACAAATGTTACTCACATTATAATCATCACATCATCATCCTTACTGCGCCATCGGCCTTCATTCCTATGAGCTTTGTGCCCTGTCCATTGCCACTCCAGTTTGCAGACCCGCCTGACTGTATCGGTAATTTTTGTCTATCTGCGGATCTTCTCTTTCCTGACTCGACTTCTCATAGAAACCCCGAGCCCTCTCTATTGCCCGCTGAGTGATGCGGAGTCTCTTAAGGACGCCCATAGTTAGAGACCACGTCTTGGTCCCTTAGATCATCACTGGCAGCACGCCTTGCTGGTACGGTAGCCAACCGAGTTGGATCCGTCGAGTGACCTCTTTCTCGAAATTGGACCTGCCTACCTAGACTACTTGTCCTAAATAGTATACATAAAATAGACATATGCCACAATAATTCCAAGGATCGAGCTCCCCAGCATAAAAATGACTATAAAGCAGACTGTAAAAATATGTATATCATCCTTCGTCTTATACTTTTGAAACGATAATAAATTCAAACGGCAAACCGCAACAAAGTACGATACTATCGCTCTTGAAACTTATGAAAATTTCAAACACTTCCAACTTCAAATTGCAACTTAGACGGCAGTGATGTCACTTTAAATTCTCGCTTATCGCCGCCATTATGAATTCGAATATCGAATAAATATCCTAGGGACACGATCTGGTGACAGGCGGTGGTCGCGTGACAGGTTCGGCCGCGAAATAGATCCGAATGGTGATTGGATGAAGTGAAGCCTAGCGCAATATTTTGCTTCAGCGATCTCGACTTAAAGTGTTCTTTATTCTCGTGTGGTTTTTTCGACTATTAGTTTACAATTACATTTTTTTTTTCAAATTTATTCATTATTTGCTTCAGTATGTGAACTAGATCCGGCTGTGTCTGCTTCACACTCTCTTGAGACAAATAATATATAGATCGGATGACAAAATTTCCATATAAAATCTACTTTTTGCCTTAAAAATGTGTCCCGGTTCACTTATTGTCATAGGCATAATCAAGATCAGCGTTGTAGTCTCCGGCTCATACATAACAAAGTCAAATCGCTTTTAATGCTGGAAATATCGAGAGGGTTCGATAAAAAATCAGCTTGACGATTGACTGAGTCGATAGCGTTTGACTTTTTGTCCATGAGCGGCGGTGAAAGCTTACGATCAGGTGGCCCGCCTGATCTTTTTCCTCCTTTTCCATAAAAAACAGGTAATGTCGACATTTTGCATATATTATGCATTGACCGTATAAACACAATATATAAAATGGAATATGCACTTTTCAACCGACTTTAAAAAAGGAGGAGGTTTCAATTCGACTGCATTTTTTATTTTATTTTTTTATGTTTGTTATTTCAGAACTTTCCACTGAGTGAACCGATTTTGATGATTCTTTTTTTATTTGAATCCGGTGCTTCCCATGTGAACTCCTGAAAATCAATTATAAAATGAACACAGTGCGAAACATTTGAAGTCGGTTTTGTTTTTCGTTAATAAAAATCTGAACTTGTTATTTAATAACTCCTCTACGTATGTGAGAGCCGTCGAAGACCGTTTACCATCATCACTAACTAGCGTACGACTGTCGGAAGATATTCCAACCCTGACTATTATTGGTCCTCCACTTGTTGACAGCGTTCTACTAGTCGCGTACATACTCGTCGTGTGTAGATAAACAAAATCTGTATGTATCGAAAAATATAACCCTGGAACAATCTTCATTGTCCCCTGGACGTGCTCTCAAGCAACCGTAACCTGGCTACTCGACGTTCTCTACGGAGACAAGTTTGGGGTTATGCTGGCCTATAAGGTTAAAAAGTAAAAGTAAAGTAACAGCCTATAAATGTCCCACTGCTGGGCAAAGGCCTCCTCTGTAAAGAGGATATCAGGGCATAGTTCATCACGCGACCCCACTGCGGATTGGCGGACTTCACATATTTTCCAAATATTTTTTTTTATTATTACATTTTTCGAAAATATGCGCAGTCAAATACAGGGTGGCTTTTCTAAAGGTGCCTAAATTCTCGCAGGAGGGTCGGACGCGGTAGTATAATCATTTATTGAAATAAAAACAAACTTTTAAAAAAAAATGCATTTCTATTCCTTAAAAAACAGAACTTCTTGTCAATGCGGTAGTCATTCATAAACACGTCTTATACTTTTGAAACGAACTTGTTTGCGTGTTAGTTATGAATGATCGCGCGTAAAATAAATGAGTTGCCCATAAATCCCGCACTTTTGAGATAAGTTCAAATGAATGTAATTAATTAATTACGAGTGATTTTAAATATTAATCATTTTTTATATAACATTATTTATGTCTAGAATTTAATAAAAAAAAATGGATACACTTAGAAAATCCTCCCTGTATAATTATATCCATAAAACTTACCACTACGACATACGAGCGATATTTGCGGCTAAGTATATTTACATCACTTCAATTGTGGCACTGAATATTTGAATGTTGGGCACATTGCACCCTTGTAGAGCCGAAGCGAACAATATCGAATATATTTTGTTCATGTTCTTTACACTAATATCTTGACCAATTTAAATTTGGAACAGAATGATCAATGATCTAACCTTTGTTTATATTTTTATACTTAGTAATTTTCAATTGCCATTTTCCTAACGAACTATACAGCCTCACATCTCTTCAAGCACGAGTTTCTCAATTTGTATTGCGCAGTTTCCTAATTACACCACAATTTTCCTCTTAATTGTTCTTGTAGTTACGACTTCGCTGCGTCAGGTACGTAGACCGATTCGAAATGTTTAACATTTGGTCCGTTCGAATGGTATTAGTGACGTGAAAAACGTTCTGTCTAGCTATCGATGAAAAATCGGGAATTTTCATATATCTATAGGTAAAGTCAAAACAGTCCAGTAGTATTTTCTCCGAAGGAAAAAGTCTTAACTTTACTATTAATATCATCATATTCAAAATGTAAGAATTATACGAATTCAGCACTTGGAAATTTGTCAATCAACATTTATGACATGGGCAATATAATAATTTTTTAAAATTCCTCTCGTGATGAGATAAGGGCCGTGATAGCTCAGTGTTCGCGCGCTCGCTTTTAATTCAATATCGGGTGTATCAGAAATCTGATAAAAAAATGATTTGTTAGTTAAAAATTTAAATACTTATCATGTGCTCTGCGGTGAAGGAAAGCGTCGTGAGGAAACATGCATGTTTTTGAAAAGATAACAAAAAAAGTACTTCGAAGACATGTGAATGTGAAGTGTACCAATCCGCAGTGGTGTTGCATGATGATGTAGTTTTGTTAGTTGCATGTCCTCTATACAGAGGACTTTGCGGAGGCCTTTGCTCAGCACTGGAACATAATGATATAATCTATTACTTTTCTTTTTTTACCCCTGATATAAATCGAATGATTTGATTCAGGTTGATTGTTGAATGATATGACAAATTGTTATTTCGTCTTATAATTACAAAGTATGAGACATGATTTACTTGAAATATTTATTCGAGGAAATCGGCCGCCTCAGCTCAGCAGACACCCTTTGACCAGATCCTACCATTGTGAAACTTATGTGGTTCAAGCCTGGAGTCTGTGATATAGACAACGGTCGTTTGTAACACATAAAGCTTCATTGTCTTTGTTGGTCGAAGTTTTCGCTTCCAGCATGAAGGAATACAAAACGCGATTCGAGGCCTATCGCCGTCCCGCGTCCATAAGGAACAGTATAATATATCGGTAATACAAGTCTATTATTCGGCTCGGCCTTTGTTTTCACACATTGTTTTTCCACAATAGACGTTTACGACCCATCATAATTATGTTCGTTCGATCGCACCGTTCGTGCCGGGGCGTTTGGCCCCGATCGCCCGTCGCGACGGGCCCATTTCTTTTCCCTCCCCCCGCCGAATCCTTTTTTTTATCTGTGGCCCGCATTCGGAATGGTAATTTTACAGTTTTGAGCACGTCAATCGATTATCGCGACCGCCGCTCGTTCTGCACCGTCAGTTCCGTGACACGGATCCGCGGGCTCTGCTCACGAATTATCGTTGCCGTTTGTCTTTTTTTTTTTTTTTAATTTTGTTTTCCATTCCGTTTCTGGGCCCTCGCATTTCGTGAAACGCTCGTACGCGCTCGTTAATGCAAATGCGGCGTGTAGCGACATCGATTGACCGATTTATGGGGTCGGCCGTTGTGACGCTACATTCCCGGTCTTGGGGGTTCGATAACACGCCACGGTCTCCTCGGTCTGCGTTACTTTGATTTGGTTGGCCAATTTCGAACGCGGCCCGAATCTCGAATGGAGAATGTCGTGATCGCTTCAACCAATATCTGAGATGATTTTCGAAGCTATACTAATATCGTATCTTACATACGATATTTCATATATGCCAGTTCTACAGCTTTATCAACGCATTTTATTTCAACGGTTTTTTTTTTGAAAATAATTATTTTCTAGAAGTATTAGATTATTTTTTTATATTTTGTTTGAAATAATCTAAATAAATGTATAATTTTGTATGTAACAAATAGTAATTGTTAAATGCAAAATAGTCTCGTC